CATTTAAACATGTTAATATCAAGGCATATAATTTTCTCCAGAAATAAACCCTGGGATAATATATCTATCCTTGTTTTATTTTGTTTAAACTGAACTTTACCTTTTCAGAAAAAAAAAAGAAATTTCTATAAAAAACAAAACTGACCCTAACTTTTGAGGCCATTTTCACTCCCTATCCTCCCTACTTTCCTACTGGTGTGTTTATGGAAACAACTATTGAAAAAGATTAAGTGGGTCAAGAGAGTAGTTAAGTTTCTAAGTGTCTGCAAGTTCTGAGTGTTAAATGCATGTCTTTTTTTTTTTTTTTTTTTTACCATGATAAGAGCAGGCTCGGAGCTAGACTTTGTCCAGATTCGCAGTGATAGATCTTCTGCTGCACTCAGCCACCACTGTCTGCAGAGGCTCCAACTCACACTGCTCACCGGCTTGTCATGACCTACATTCAAAACCCCACATCTAAAATGAATCTGGTTAAACAGTGTGTAGTCACAACATTTACTTTTATGGTGCTGCTTGGACGAAAGACAGGCTGAATAAAGGAGTCTCATGCTGACCTATGCGTCACCTCCTCTTTTGTTCTTTACCTCTGCTGCCTTCTTGTGGACATTTGCTTTTAAAATGGGGACTGAAATGTGATTAAAAAAATTAAAAGGTGGATCTCTTGCCTTTCTTTATAAAATACCAGTCTCAAAATAGGCCAAAGGGAGCAAAACTACCAAGAGTGAAGCAAGATAACAGATTTCCACTTAATGCAACATCTTTAGTCGTAGTAACAGACATTACAGCAGCTTCTAAACTGAATATTGCTTTATGACCAGACACTCTGTTCTTTAAATAATTTGAGGTAACTCTGGTATGTCTAGCATAAATGGCACATAACACAAATCCACAGCTGAAAAGAAAGCACTTAAGTGAGTGAAGGTTAAATATAGCAAAGCAGAGGTTAACCATTCCTGGAACACTTCTCACCTATGAAAGCTGTTGGATTACCAGTGAGGCTGGAATTGTACAGTAACACTGTCCGGTCGCCAAGACCACACAGGATTTGTTTTCCATCACCTAAGAAAAGAAAGGAACCATATATTTATCTTATAAGTATTATTAGAGCAGCCACATTAAAAAATATATATTTAAAATTTTAGTTTTGATCCTGTCGCAGTGAAGCTGCATTAAATACGGTGGTTGGTGCATCTGTTTGCTCTCTTTCAGTGGTGATGAGGCAAAAAAAAGCAAAGCAAACACAAAATTCATCTAGTTAGATGTATAACATACATTGTCAAACATGGGAATTCCAAAATTAAATGTACTTTTTTAAGTCATGTTTGTATTATTATTCCATTTTTAAGGGTAGTGTCATAGATAAGGTAGTGTAGGGTAAATCGCACTTTGCATCAAAATGGTCAAAACTGCACTATCATGCACTCTGTACAAAACATCACAGGCAGAGTTAAAGAAGCTATGATTTTAAGTAGAAAAAAAAAAAAAAACAGAATAAAAGGCATTTGTGAGAAAAAGCAGACTTGGTATGCAGTATAGGGTCTACTTAATGGTGTGTTCTAGAAACACAGATGATTCGATTAGGCCTTTCTGGGCTTAGTTTGAACTATTTTTTATGTCCCACCAAATAGCCAATCTCTTGAGATATTGATGCAGGAAATATTTTGGTATTTTCCCCTATAGTGATGAGATTGGGGCTCATAAATATTTTTTAACACCTTTTTTTAAATGTATCTTTATCTCTTACTTTGAGTTAAGTTTCCGCTATAAATAGCCCTAAAGTACGACAGTAGATGAACAACTACCAAAACAACTCAGCAGAAGTTGTATTTGAATGTATGTTCTATTTAGGAGCATTGAAGCTTCAAAAAGGTTTGCAACCTTGTAGCATCAGCCAGAATTTAGAAATTAATAGTGTTTCGTAAAAAAAATAACACAAATATATATTTTTGTGTATACGTGTTTGTTGCCGCTGATGTACTCTGCCTACACAAAAACAAGAAAAAAATATTCTGCAGGTTTTTTTGTGTGTTTTTTTATTATAAAAAAAGAGTAGGAAGTAAAATATTATCCTTCTTTTTTTAAACCATATATCACTAACCATTATCTAGGTGTTACAGACTATTTTGAAATGCATCAAGTTCCATGGTGTTTGTTAATGTTTAGTACTGTGTTACTGTATTAAGAAGATCTAGTCCTACAAGTGTAATTCAAGACATTCACACAGTCACTTCTTATTTTTCTACTTTATAGTACATTTTTTTTGTGTAAGGTCTGGCTGTGATCAAAATTGAAGTAATCCTTTAATGTATTCTGAAAAAGTAAAAAAAAAAATCCACTGGACTTTGTTTCCAAGGTTTGAAGATGTTTCGCTTCCCATCAAAATTTTGAATTGAGAAAGCTTCCTGGATGGGAAGCGAAATGTCTTCAAACCTTAGAAACAAAGTCCAGTGGATTGTTTTTTTAAAACGTTTTCAGAATGACTATGACCTGGATGACTGAGAATCTTCACCAGCATATCCTTTAATGTATGTACAATATGGATAAATTACAATAGTGAGCAGCACAGATGAAAAAAAAAATCAAACAAGAAACGTAAAACGAGGAACACGATTAATGAAACATTAAATGTTTCAGGCTAACTGCCTTATTGATTATATGCTGATCAATATTAGCTGTCAGAAGTAACACACCTGAATACTGAAGACATGAAGCCTGCTTGTTTGCAATGTTAAGTTCAATGCGTTGTTCAGTTGGGGCTGCACTGTCCTCTGGGTAGTTACTCTGGAGGAAGTCTCTAAAAGATAAACATGTTTTTATAGTTCATGAGACACACACATATGAACAACTAATGAAGTACAGTTAAATACTTACAAAAGTTTATATGACTTTTTAATGGGTGTTTTCTTCTGAGTATTAGTTTGTGGTGAAAACATAGTCATTCTGAAAGACAGAAATATAGAAACATGTTTTAATAGAGAAAATGCAAAGAATGTTAATTAATAATTATTAGCCAGCTATAATAAGGATCATTGTAATGCAATAAAAACACTGTATTTGTTTTATTACAAAATTATTTTCTAAAACTTTTTCTGACAATATTGAGGGGAAATTAAATGTATCCTTCAATATAGATATATTAAAGAGATACCGGTATATTAAGAGATATCTGACTATACCTTTGCTTGGTGGTGTATCCAGATGACTTCACTTTGGAGTGAAAAACTAGAGGCTTTTCCTTTAAACCTCCTTTAAAAAAAAAAATCTCCCGTGAGACAGACTGATCAAGAGGACTAATAATATCAACAACAATAATTATATATATTTATTTATTTTACATGCAAATCTCAACGTGCTACAAAGTAACAATAAAAATATTAACCACATATAAACACATTAACAAACATTAAAACGAGATTTAAAACCAAGGTTAAGATTTTAATTGTAAAGTTTTTTCAGTTCTTTTTTAAAAGAATTAGCAGTCTGTTGTAGTCTCAGGTGTTCCAGGATCTCATTCCATAAACAGGGTGGACGACTGCGAAAAATGCCCAGTCTACCATCAGTGATGTTTTTTTTGTTTTTTTTTATTGGTGCAGTGGATATGTTGATAGATGTTTGTAAAAAAGCACAACTAAACATCAGTATCAAAAGAAACCACCATGGAGGCTATAAAGGGCCATAGAGGGATCAGGGACTGTCTTTTAAACTGTTAACTGCGGTAACATTAGTTTCATTTTGTGGCCCAACTGTTTTGTTTTACTACATGCTTTTATAGTGTTTTTATCTCTACATGCTATTAGTTTGCTTTAACTTTAGTTCTGTTCTATTATTTAATTAATGTAAAGCACTTTGTATTGTCTTTGTACTGAATTGTGCTATATAAATAATGCTCCCTTCACACCAAACGAGATTTGAGCAGCAAATTGTACACATAAAGGTCAAATACACCTCAACAGCATCTTTGATGCTCCTGAAGTGCAGCCAGTAAAGTGTGTCCAGATGCACCTGATGCTTTTGCTGCACCTGTGTTCAATGGCAGAGAGCAGCTTTGCAATTATAACTGTTATAAGTGTGTAAAAAGTACTTTTAATATGTTTTTAAGTGAGAAAGTCCACCTCAAAACAGCATCTATGCAGTCAGTTCATCAAGATTATGATCCTGCCTTAAAATATTATTTCGCTGTCTGAGACGTTCAGACCCCCACATACTGATGGTGAGCTGTCACTGGGAAACCACAGCAACAGCTGCCTCAGGCCGGAGGTTTTCCGCTGGCTGGCGACTGGAAGTAGATGTTTGCGTTTTTAACATACATAACTGCAAGGCAGCAGAATAATAAAAGTGAACATATATTTTGTCGGCAGGTTTTAGAATTTTAAGTTAATTAGGTGTTAATATCCTGTTTCAGAGGACTGAACATAGTGCTATGTATCAGCAGCGCTGTGTCTTACGGTGGCCGGGAGGTGCAAACCAAAATTACAAAATCTAAAACACTTTTACAAGTTCCAAAAAAATAATTATCATTTCAGGAAACAAACTCTGAGGCTGAACTGGTCTTGTGTAAAATTCTGTTTCTGTTCCCCCTGTCGGGAGTGCGCATTGCAGCCAGAGAGGCGGATCTGACCATTAAAAGTGTTTTGTTTATTTATTTATTTGTTTCTTAATGTAAATTTGTTTTCTGAAATGATAATTTGTTTTGGAACTTGTAAAAGTTCTTTAGATTTTATAATGTTGGTTTGCACCTCCCCGGCCACCATAGGTCTGGGTCTGTCTCCCTGCCAGCTCCCAGATCAGCTTCTCTGATTGGTTGATGTGGCGCGTCCAGCAGCAAAAGTTATATTTTTCTAACTCTAGCATGCTTGTGAAGGGCGTCATGCACCTCAGAAGCTCATGAGGCGCTGCTTCTTCTACTCAGACGACTCAAGATGCACTGCTCTTGCTGCTGTAGACGCTCTGCATGACCTTTTGAAGCATCTTGATGCGCCGCAACAGTCGACTTTGCATTTAAACCTGCTGCTTCTGCTGCTCCAAAAGCGTTTGGTGTGAACGTAGCATCATCAAATATACATTTTTTTCACCAATTTGAGATCCATATATTTGAATTGCAATACAAATAATCATATTCAATGTTCTAATTATCATTATTGTGATTATTTTATATTATCATTTGTTTCGTTGACTGCATGGCTGCGAACTTCATCTTTCTTTTACCATCACTAGCACATGTTAAGTCCTAATTCCATTAAGGTGGTGCGTTCCCCTTTAGCACCTCTTATTGATTGTGCACACAATCTTAACAATTTACCCACAGTAAAAATACTATATTGTGTGCAATTTTTTTGCACAAGCAATCAAGTTTTGACTCCGATGTGGACTAATTACCGTACCTGGTTCCGGATGAACGATGCCGAAATTAATAAATAATATCTCACTATCTACAGTTTTACATTTTAAAAGTCAAGTTTGACAAATCCTAATTTTTTTTTAATCCAAAAAACTCCCAACTTGTCCACACTAATGTTTCAGACCAAAATTTTTACATCAATAAATCCTTGACTTACTGCCATACAGTACATGGGAACCTGTCTTTGAAAGAAATGGAAATAGCAGTTTCTGATTTGCATTATCCATAGAAATAAGTCAACCTAAATACTTTTTTTTTTTTTTTTTTACAAAGATATACTTGAAAAGAAATTTGTTATACTGTAGTTTTTACATACAATAGTGAAAGAAAAAAAAAGATTCAGGCATTTTAAGAATTGTTTAAAAAATGTTGAAAAAGGGCAGATTGTTTTTTGCTTCAGCCCATTATTATGAAGCACGTTTCCTGGATTATACAAGAAAAGGGTGAGTTGGAATTACTAGATGATCTCACTGTTCTGGAAGCATTAATAGATCAGCCACAACCTGCGGGATGTTTTATGCTCCTCAGTGTTTGTTGTCAATGTTTCAAATACATTAGCATGAGCTCACTTTTTCCACAGCTATTAAAATATGTGTGGATTACAAAAAGATGTGCATCTTTCAATTAAATGCAACGACTGATTCTAAACAATAATGTTCAATTTAATTAAAACCATAACGCATGTCAGCAAACACTTTTTACCTCATTATTACTATATAATGGGTGCAAGGAATCACATAAAAAGGTAATTGTCTTAATCCTATATGAATTTAGAATTAAAACTTCACTTTAGCCTCATTTAGAATGTCATTAGGTTTTGTTTGTAATTATCCTTCGTTATGTCTACATATAACTATCCTAATTGATTTTTTCACTTTAGTTAAAAATCAGAATATTTTAATCAGACATTTAAGTGGAGTCAGTCATACAGTCAGTCAATAACTAAGGACACTGTTCGATCCAAAACACACCTTATGAGGGGAAAAAAACTGCGGTTTTACAGTGAAAAGATCCAATTACCTGACATTGTAATTCCTTGGAATTTCTCAACAAATCCATAGACCACCTACTGATTATAAAATGGCTGTTAAGATTTATTGGCCAACAACGTTTACATGGTATATGCTGACACTTAAGATGCTATTTAAAGCCCTTTGAGACCGTTAGACAAATTACAAGCGGTTACATCCAAATAAAATCACCATGGATAGTGATATCCTTCAATTAGGGCTGCCATTATGTTATATAAAGACATACACAGTAACCATTAAAAAAAATAAAAAGCATTCAGTCTAACAACTGTAAATACTGCAAAACAGGCAGTTTTAATTTAACATGGTTTAGAGTTGAAACTAAACTAGTTGAAATTAATGTCCCTATACTTTACACTATACGTAAAAAGTTGTATGTATTCTCACAGGGTTCCATTCTCCTCTGACCGGAGCATCCTTCTCCACAATTGTGATGTCTCTTACAATCAATGGTTTTCAAACTGTTCTGAACCTTTTAGGTTAGGGTTAATCAATTGCAGTCCTAGAGGTCCAGCTTCCTGCACCTTTAGATGCTTTGCCCTTCTGCCCTAACCCCTATATAGGGCAATATATAGTGGATACGCCATTTTATATGAGTGCCTGAATGGCTAATAGATGAAAAAGTAGTTGATTTAAAATTTCCCACAATGCACCTTGAAAAGTAGTGTGCATTCATGGTCACTAGATGAGCAGATCTATCACAGAGAGCTTTACAAAAGCTCTCCTCGACAGGTATCATGAGATTAGTTTTTGAGGTGAGAAAGACCAAAGACCATGCAAGGAGCCGGAGACATGTGACTAATAGGGAGCGAAAAGTAGTGATAATTTTTCCGAATGGTCAGTTAACTGAGTTCACTATAGAGTCCACTATATCGTCCCCTCTCTTTATAGTGATTGAGGGGTTATGGGTTAGGGTGGACATTTGGACATAGCAAATTTCTTCAGGGTCCACTTGACCATCTAATTACTTAATTCAGGTGTGTTAGCCCAAGGCCGCATCTAAAAGTGGCAGGATATCAGCTCTAAAGAACTGGAATCAGTGTTGTGGGCGCATCCCCGCTAGCTTATCTGTTTACCCACTTCATTCACCTGCCGTTCCCTCCCCGCTCTCAAATTATCATTTCCCGTATTCACCTGGTACCTCTGCTATATATACACGCTTCAGCCCAGCTATCAGGGCCAGATTATTATTCGTTAGTATTCTTAGTTATTCGTGTGTTCTTAGTTTATTCGTGTATTCTTAGTTTATTTGTCTTATGTTTTCGAGTCAGTCATTCATGTTTGTTTCATTAGTTTTAGTTAAGTCCCTGATTCATGTTGGAACCCTGGATCTGTCTGTTCCCATTCAGATCAGAACCCCTGATCGGGCTACGGACTCCTGGATCACAGAACTGTCCAGTTCTGAACTGTTTCTATGACCAAGATCGTATTCCCGCCTCCTCACTGACGTTGCTGCATCTGGGACACATGGGGCGGCTCTGAGCCGCAGCTCGTTTGGCAGTCCATCGGTTGGATCCTTCCTTCCTCGGACAGGATGGACTGAACTGTTAAACCAGCTAAATGACTCACTCGGATAATTATCTCCTGTCAGATGATAGTTGTCACTTGCCTGTGTTTCTCCCTCCAGCGTGTCAGTGATTGGGCGGTGCCCCACCCCCCTCCTGCAGCCACTGTGGTCCGCTTATCCTCAGCAGTCCGGGTCCCGTTTTTTTCTGTTTTATTGTTTTTCTGTCATTAAACATTTTGAAATTTCCCATTATCTGACTTGCCTTGAATACTGGGTCCTGTTCTTTTGACAATCAGCCACCCCTGGTTTAGATGGATAGGAATGCTGTGGTTGGGTTGCAGCTATGCAATAATTTTTCTATTTTCAGATGATTGATTGACTTTTGCTCAGCAAATTTTTCAATAGATCGGTTTAATACTTACTGGTAACTGTTTAAAACCTTTTCTTAATTGCATCCCTTACTTGCTTCCTAATATGCTCTAAATTAAATTTTATTTAGGGGTTAAAGAATTCAGAAGCTAAAGACACATGCATATATTTTTAAGTAAGTATAAATGAAGCATCCTTGTGCAATAAATATATTCAAACTTTTAATTTTAGTGTGACAAAATATACATTTTTTTTTTGAACAAATCTCTTCATTTTGGACGTTTCTGGATATATTATATATTTGTTATAACTTGGACCATGCAAACTGGCAAATTGTGCAACAATATGTACAACATGTTTCAAGCTGGACTTTTAGTTCAGACAACTACCCTCAGTACACACTTAATACTATACATCACATAAAAGTAAGGACGGATCAAGAACATTATCATAAAAGCCAGCCAGTAATGAAAACCCTTTAAATCTGTGCTCACAGCGCTTTTAAAGGAGCTCCTTCAGACTTGTGCCAGACTTACAATGGGGAAACATTTTCCTTTCCAGGAGTCTCAGGGGTTTATGGTGTAATTTGTCTGTGATTTTGCAGTTACCTTTAAAGAATATGGAGATCCATGTGGAAGAATTGGAGGTTAGCCTGTAAATGTTTGTGGGTTTTTTTGCTCGGATGTTTCAGTCACACAGCACTTCTCAATTATAAAAAAGATCCCCTATGTAGTCTGACACTGGCAATTCTCTGCACTCCAGCTGTGGGGAGGCTTTGTCAGCATAAACTCTCTATGAGGAGCATGTAAGCCTCAGCACAAGCTCAGATGGCTCTATTATACTGGATAACACATATGTAAAATATAAAATAGACAGGATTAGTGCATTAAAGTTTGTTTTGTGCATCAAGGAATGTAAGGCCAAGATTAACAGAGAGTAGAGCAGTATTAATATAACTAGATAATGGAAAAGGTTTTCAGAAGCTCTTGGATTAGCCAATCAGATATAACAACAAATTCTATTTTAGAGACATGACTTAAATATTGCAATTGCCTTTAAGGATACGGTATTTGTAGTTAGATAAGATCATAAACAGCGAGGCTGCTGACCTTTCTTTTTAGGGTGGCTGGGTTCCTTCCTTTTTAACTCAGCATTCAAAGGAGATTCAAGCAGTAGAGGAGAACTGGAAACGAGAGAGGAGGGAAACAGGGGGACTGAGTTACTGAAAACAGAGAAGTAAAGCATTTTCCATCGTTATGGATTATTAGTCCCCCTAATTTACAGTACCATAATTTTGTTGACTCATAAGAAACCAGATGGCTGCAATGGCTGGCAATAATTGGATAAGTCAATATGGAAATATTTGAACAAGGGAAACCTTTAGAGAGGAGGTGACCCAGTAAATAGGCTTTCCTCATATGTCATGGAGTACTCTTGCTGAGGTCAGGCTACAATCTTAGACCTTGCCAACCAAGGTGCCCCTACAGTCACGCTAGGCCCCCCAGATATGACCTTTCACATACATTTAATTAATTAATCACAGACATTTCATCATTTTACGCTGCTGGTGCTCCTAAATCATGAAAATGCATAATTGTTTTTATGACTCTGCATAATTATTTCCAAAATATGTTTGCCTCTTTTTCATAAGTCAATGTATCTTATAAGCAGGCCTACTTTGCTAATATTACAAATTCAGATGGAATATTTTAAATATTTTGGTTGGAATATCCTTGGCTCAAAAGCTGACATTCAAGAAGGAAATCTATTTATAATCTATGTACCAACACAAATAAATGCTTTCTTTTGACTTCAGGTTTACCTTGGGAAGACAGAAAAGCCTCCATCACCTACTCCTGTCTTCTTTAGGTCACTCAAACACAAGTCTATCAGGACAGCATGTGGATTGAACAAAGAGCTCACCAGAACCACCATCTAAAAGAAATCTTTCATTAAAACTCAAGTTTACAGTGCACTCTATCATAGGGACTTTATGTTACATCCAGGTACTGATTCATCATTACTCACAGACTCAGAAACCGCAGGGATTGACCATGAACCCACCATGTTGATATTCAGGGTGGGGTTATCTGAATGTTTAAACACAAATCACAAGGTAATATGCATCAAACCTCATGTGTATCAAAAGAAAACCACTCATTGGACTTGTTTTATTGATCACATGTTCAATCAGCAAAAAAGCTATTTCTGACAGCTTTTCATATATGGTTATCTTTGTGGCAAAACAATTAAACGTTTTGGCCCAGTAAAGCTATTATCATTGGTTTTCAAATCTTTTGAAACGATCACCAATAGGGGTTTTCCAAATACCATTATAAAGATAGAGATAATAAAAAAAACCTGATTGTTAGTTAATAATATAATGTAACAACAATGAACAAAACAAACAAAAATTTGTTCTTGCACATTTGCATTGAAATATGTGTTTGTCCTATAGCTATCTCATTGGAGTCATGGGTCCTTTAGACGTTTCAACCAACCTAAAAATCCAATATGGCTGCCTTTTATATCAAATCTGGTACAAGGTTTAGAAAAATGTGCAACTGCAGCTTTAACTTTTTTGAACTTCATCAAAGCTGTCAAATAAAAAGTACCAAACAAGGAATTTTAGCAAAAATTTTTATGAAATGTTTGAAAGCAAAAAAATGTTTAGAAATATATTGTTGTTACCATGTACTGCTCATAGTGGCTCATTGAGTGTATCAGCTACCAAATCCCACTAGGTTCTTATGTTTAGAATTGAGACTTTATTTTAATATCCAAGTCTGAATATCAGGGTTAATTAAAGTAGACATCAGCATGGTTTTCCAATGACCAAAAAAGCAACACTCCAGAACAACATATCTCTAGTTGCTATTGCCTAGTTGCATAAGTAATTTCTTTATATTGACAGTGGAAATAAGGATGTTTTTTATTTAAAAGAAGCCCAGTCAGTGGTACAGGTATAACAAGTTGAAAACCATAGCTCTGAAATGATTTAAAGTTAAGCTAAAATTCTTCGTCTTGTATTTGACTGAAATGTGTGACAGTTCATTTAATCTTACCATGTTTATCTAAAAAAGGGAGCAGTGGAGCAGTGATACCCCCAGCAGCTTACCTTTGAAATACAGCACCGTTAGGAGTTCGGAAGTAGCCAGCTCCACCACATAAAGACCATTTGAGCTTCCAATACAAAACCAGCTGTTATTTCTGCAAGGGCCCACACAGAAGCATATGGAAAACTAATGTTACACTATTTCCCTTTAATGCATTTTTTTCTCCTTTCAGTTGGGAATGACAAAGAAACCACATAGTAAAGAAAAACACATTGCACTGACAGACTGCAAAGGCAGGCCAACCACAAAGCTGTACGTTGTAGTAAATTTTCCTTTGACTATATCTAATCTAGACTATGTAAACCCCGGAAGATGGAAAGCCTTGACGAGCAGATAGGATCATTGTTTTATCTTCATTCAGCTACAGCTAAGGCTATAACATTGTGGACAATTACATTTAAGTACATCATTATTTTCATGCTGGGACAATTTTCGCTCTCATGGGTGAACTCATACTAAATAAATTTGATAATTGCACCAGTTAGTGATCAAAAAGTAACCGATTTTATGTGTGAAGGAAAGTCCAATAATTAAATGATCAAATATGCCAATTCTGTATAGCATAAAGCAGTTAACACATCCAGTTGCATAAATTTTACAAACTAGATGTGACCAAGCAAAAAAAAAAAACCACTTCAGTATGTTTAAAGTCACCAAAAGAAGGCCAGTAACACAGCGGCTGCAGCAGGATTTTACATTTAGGCTTTATTGAAAGTAAAGATGTTAAAGTACTGCTGTGGGATTGCATGCTTTTCTAAGATGGGTTAGGTTTTAGTGTCAATTCCTTCACATGTGATATAAAAATATAGTGTTTTAAGTGCCTACTTCCTGTCACGGCTCACTGCCATACTATATGTTGTGTGACTGAGGCCTCCTGCCGTGTATTTTTCTGGGTGCACACATGATGTTTTAAGCACCGTAATATTTAGCACTGGATGTAAAAAAAATGTTAGAACTGTAAATATACAGTAATATGTTTATATTGCTATTGTTTTTTATGTATTTATTACTTTTTTCAAGGCTGCACTTTAAAAAATGAAATTGTCTAGAGCTGCTTTAAACAAAATGTATTTTTGTATACACTTGTGTTTACAAAATGACAAAATAAATATGTCTAAGTCTAAGTCAAAGTCTGGATTTAGAACTTGTTCATACATCTACAACAATGGGTTAAAAGGATTAATATAGGGATAGTATCTTTAATAATTGACTTCATCATCAACATTTGTGTTTATCTGTAGGCTTTGGAGGAAAAGTCTAACATATGTGATGGAGCTTAGCTGTTAACATGTTTCTCTTTTTAGATATTCTGCTTTTCTCTTTTTTAATTGTAATAATAAACGAGCCTGGAAATAAAATTATTTAGTAGTTTTATCCGGAAATGGATATAAGATAAATAATATAATCAAACAAATACCATTTCCCAGTCCTTTCAGGCTATGAAGGAACCAAATAATAAAAACCAAATAATAAAAACCAAATAATAAAAAAAAAGAAAAAAAAAGAAAAAAAAGCTAAAAACTTCTGTAACTACTGGTACTCTGGTTTTGCTATACTTACATTTCTTGGCTGAAATGGATTCCTGGAAATTGTTCACATGAAGCCATTGTGATGACAGGCTTTGAGATTTCCACACCTGGAAAGATAAAAAACTAACTACTGAACCTCTCTCAATCTCCAAAAATCACATATTCATAACAAGGCACCCTTCTTCCCACTCAGTGTTACAGTTCTACAATCTCTAAATGGCACCAAGTTCTACAGGTCTCTCCTGAGGTTCCTCTTTTTTGCTAGCTGAAAACCACACATTCTGACTTATAGGAGCTGACTGATATCCAAAATGCTTCACATAGCTGCAAAATACTTTGTTACAGGATGAAGGTCATGGTCGGAAAATGCCACAGGACTCCCTTTCTATGCAAAAAGAAAAGTTGAACCAAACCAGACACCTCTTCCCCACAGCTATGCTTTGATATCAGGTCCACTAACACTACAAACAGGATCAGTCCAATGCACACTTGACACTGTAAAGAATCTGGACACAGGGATTCCCTTTAAACCCTCACCAGGAAGAGAATATTAGTTTTCTCCATATCCACGAAACAGTACTGCATCATATAACTAAACAATCGTATCCTCCTTGTAAATTCTGCAGCTGTAAAGATCTGCTCAATTGTTCCACAGTCTGCACCAAAGTAGAAAAATGTAAGGTTCGACAATCCAAAAGGCCTCATTCCTAATACTTGAGTATGCCTTTGTCACTCTATAAGCCATAAAGAAATTTTGAACAGTGGTGAAGTAAAACGCTTCGCTCTGCTTTCCAAACTAAGGTGCTAACATTCCCACTGGGTGGCCCCCTCAGAAGGGCTAAGAATCAGTTATCTTAATGGTTATTGATTTCGTATCTAGGCAAATGATTTAACTAAATATTATTTTACCAAA